AAAATCCAAATGAAATCTTTGGAGTCATTCCATACCTGGCACCTGAAGTGTTATCAGGTAAACAATATACAAAAGAATCATACATTTATAGTTTTGGAATGATTATGTGGAAGCATACATCAGGGAAGAAACCTTTTTATAATGTACCACATGATCATCATCTAATAATGGATATTCTGGGAGGAATGAGACCTAAAGTCACCAAAGACACTCTTGAATTCTATGCTGAATTGATGAAAAAATGTTGGGATTCAAATCCAGAAAATAGGCCAACTGCCAATGAAATTAATGAGTGTATCTGGACATATGCTGAAAAAAGAGAAGAAATCATTAGATTAGCAGAAACAAAACGCCAAGAGATAATTAAATCAGAAAAATATCTTTCTAGATCAAAGAATTACAAACACCATCTAGATGCATTCTATACAATTCGTCCACTTAGTAAGTTAATTGAGCAGGCTAATAATAAATTGGCTACTATATCAATAGATTATGATGATGATTCATCCAATAAAAAAATTCATCCAAACACTTTAATTGAATATAATTTCGACAGTAACGCTTCAGTGTTTATGCCAATGCATATGAAATGAAAATGATATCAATGATAACAATGTTAGAAATTGTAATGCAAATGGTAATGTTGGTGATTATAGTGATTAGTGTTGTTGATCACAATGATAGTAGTGTTAATAATAAAATGAAGCATTAAAAGAATTTCTAAACCATCAATTAAGACATTATTAAAATGTGTGCCATCATTAAAATACGTACTATTATTTTATTAAAACCAGCAAAAAAATACATAAATGATTATATGATGGTATTTATATATTGCACGTTCATTTTAAAACAATATGCTTTCTACATTTGAAACACTTCTCTAAACTGTAAACATGTTAATGTAATTTTTAATCTCAGCTTGATAGAGACTATGTCAGAAGCAATTTCCATAGAAATTACTTGGTAAAGGTATTATTTAAATGATAGCGTTCCGCGTTAATAAAAAATTTTTTTTTAAACTAATTATTATTATAACTAGCCTTTATTGCCAAACATGCTGCATCAAGTTGAATGTCAATCCTTTTCGTTTGATCTTGTTTATTTTTAATCAATTGATAATTCTATCTTATATACGAAATACGAAATAAATGAAGTTTCACGTGATGATTTTGCGTCAAGTGAACAAATTATTAGAATTACCGCTCCACCACACGCACACTGGAGGAACATAAAGTCATGGTTTAATTTTTCCTTTTTTGAGCGGGTTTCCCAACTTTCAACAAATTGGTTGAAGAGAATAACTTATATTTTAAATATGACCCTGCATATGATGATTGGAACTCGGCTATAGTTTTTGATTTTGGAAAAAGTAATTACGGCTCTTGGTATAAAACAACTACGTTTTAAAGAATTCAAAAACTATTTATTTTGTTCATTTTGACCTTTTCGAGCCTTCTTTTGGCAGCCCACAGTCCCATAAATACGTGATAATCTTATTTGATTCTTTTTTTTTAAAAAAATCAGAAGGAAATTCCAAAAGCGTATATTTATATAATCTCTCTAAAGAGTATTTTAATATAAAATGTATTAAAAATAGGCATTTTCATACATAAATAACAAACGAATTCAAACTAAAAAAAACTTAAAAATTAATCAGAAAGGACAAAAAACCATTCAAATTACTTGAAAAATGTCTATCTATAAATGACAAAAAAATAAAATACGAAGAAGTCGATATTATTAACCATTTGTATGAAATCTTTCTCAAATTTAATGCAATCGTTATTTGTCTAAAATTAAAGGTCTACAATTGGATGAAGAAAAGAAACATTACAGTTAGACATATATCGAAATCTCGATTTATAATGGATTGAAGCTTTTTGCTGATTATTTTTTAGTAATACACTTCAAAAGCATCAAAAGCTTGAAGAAATAAATAATTAGCCTCTGGAACGATGGAAACTAACGTTGAATTTTCAGAGTCAAACGAATCCAGAAAACCAGAATATGTATCTTATGAAGTGCATGTAACTTTTGCAATGAATAATAAAGTAGAAAAGTTCATTTGTTCCGAAAGTGAAAAAATGCAACGCGCATGATTTTTTTTCAAATGTTATTCAAAACATCACCTTTACCAAGTTTATTATTGATTGTATTATTGATTATATAGTATTTTAAAACCAAAAATTTGCCTAATTTTGCTAAATGGGTAGAATTGATGATTTCAGCTTGCTTCTGAAAGGAGTTAGCCCACTGTTTCTTTGGAACAAATTGACGCCCGAATGTGTTTTTAATTACAAATTAAAATACTAACAATGATAATATGGGTATTGATGAAATAGTTAGAATAGAAAGTGGCAAAGAAGAAAGCAGCGGTAGTGATAATAATATATGTATTCTAAATCTTTTTTTTTTAAAACAAAATACATAAAATTTGCATTTCCCATCTTTACATGTACTAACACACATCACTGTAGCTAAAAGGTTTCATCTGGCTGAAGGATTATCGTTCTGAATGTTCAGTTAATATTTGCATTTAAATTTTGAATCATTCTGTTGTACTTTATTAATAAATAATTGCATATTCATATAGACAGAATTTATATAAAGGAGAAAAGAGACATTGAGATACTAAATTTACGTGTATATGATTATGTATATAATATATATATATAAAGGACAGGAAATCTAGAATATACAGAACTTGGGTTCGCTCAAAAGGATAGCAAACTAGGCTTGAAGGTCTTCTTGTGGGTGAGCGCACTTGATGTTCTGAATTAAATTTGTTTGTATTGATCCTTTCTTATTGAATGATATATCGTAAAAGTCCCATAAAACTTTTTAAATATATTTTTACATATTAATTATACAATCAATATTGGGTTTTATTATCCAGGACTTGAATTATATAAAATAAAGAAATTAATTTTCTCGTTTGAAGAGGGTAATAAACTACTCAATGTATGCAATGAAATCAAAACCCCATGTGTTACCAACAAGCTTGCAATGATAGCGATAAAACTTGTGGAATTGTATTGGTCTCGGCCTTGAATACTGTTCTTTTGTTTAGAGGCCTGGATTTTAAATGTGGTACCTGAACCAGTTAGAATACCGGTTAAAGATTGTTCAATGACGTTTAATGGTAAACATATTAATTGTTTTATAATGAATGTCCAATCCATTCATTGATACCCAAATTTATTTGTTTTTGTTTATGAAGATTAATGTTTTTGTTTGTTTTATAAAAATAATAATATTATGTTTATTATCACCAACTTTAGAAATAAGACTGGTTCCAATTTTGGACCATAAATTGGTAAGATTGACCGGTTGAAAGACCAATACAATAGTAATAGTTAAAAACTTGCATACATTATCTCTAATTAGTCGAAAAAAAAAATTTTTTTTTCTACAACAGCACTCTTTCATGTAATGCATTATTTCATGGTTTCTTTCCCTGCCTTTAATTACTGACTACTAAAAAGGAGGGAGTAATTCAAGAGTTTACTTGGATGGCGTTAGTACTTCTTTAATTCATACATGATCCGTGATATGTTAAACTTGAAACCTGCCAGTTTTGTGCCGATTGGTCATGACAATGTAAATAAAGGAATATCTCAAATCAGAAATAAATGACGCCAACATACACACAATACAAAAAGAAATATAGCAAGTTCTTTGGCAGGTAAGAACATCTTGGATGCTTTGCTGATATTAGCCAAGCTACATCAGGCCAACCACTTCTTCGTCAAAACTCATCCAAATAAACCATCACATGTACCTTTAATAGTATACCCCAACTATGAATGGGTAAACAAATAGAACAAACTTGTCCAAAATGAATAAAGTAACATTGCATAATCATTCCCACAATTGGAAATTTTGTTTGAAGTGCCTTTGTTAAGATGCGCATACAGAATATAATTGTCACGCTCGTGATATTAATATAGCTTCAATTTACTTTGTCACCATGTTCAGCAATGCATTGCCCCCAACAATAAAATGAGGAAAGGGCGCGGAATAATGTTTTTTTTGAAAAATTTTTTAAATTTTTTAAATTTTATTGATTTTTTAAAAATGAAAGTAAATGATAAGATAATGAATACTGAAAAATATTTGCTATACATTTATACATTTAATTCGTGAATGAATGAATGAATGAATTTTATTTGATAATAACAAAATTGAAAAATTGAAAAATGAAAAAATATTTATTATTATTATTATTATCAAATGTATGGTATCGTGAGAATGAAAGAAACCAATTTATCAAGGTCAACTTCATTTGAATAGGTGGTGGTTGTGGTTGTGTTGTTGTTGTTGTCATCGTCGTCATTTAGAGGCGTTAAAGGAGCGTTTAGAGGTGAAGTTGGAGTGATAACGTATGCTCTTGTTGACGGTAATGACGTGGAATTTAATTCGGTAAGCCTCGTAATTGAAGAAGGTATTTTAAATGTTTGATCGTTGTTTTTTTCCTTCGAAAAAAAAAGTGAATAAGGCATTTTATATGTTTGATCGTTGTTTATTTCTTTCAAAGAAAAAAAGTGAAAAAGAAGACGGATAATAATAAATGAGACTTTTGTCTTTCTTATAGTATAGAAGGTTAACAAGAAATGGTTAAGTTCGACTATGCTTTAATTTATTATTTTCAGAAGTTAAAATTTTTAATTTTTAATAAGGAATTAAAAAATTAAAAAAATTTATTTTTTTTTTTCAAGGAAAATTAATTGATCCTTATTATTTATTTGTTTTTTGTGAAGAAAAAAAAAAAAAAAGTATATATATAGGATATATAGACAATTTAAATTACCTGCTTTTCTTTATTTGGAATCTTGAAAGTTGATCTTTATTTCGCTCTTTGATCAATCATATTGAAATAAAATTAATTAAATCCCTTTTTTGTTATTTACTATTACTATTTCTTCATATTATATTATGTTACTAGATACAATGTAGACAGACAATCATATTTATATTATCACGATTATTTTGTTTTTTCATGAAAATTTTCTTCTCTTTGTTTTTTCTTCAACCAAATGTCGTTGTCTTTCCAATTCATGCTGCTGTCTTTCATTTTCTTTCAATATTTCTGCCACTGTTTCTGGCTCTGAAGTTGTTGATGGAGCTGGTGATTTTGACTGTACACGTTTTGGCAATGATGATGGAGCACCGCCATCAATTAAACTTGGAGGATCCTATTATTATTATTTTGATTAAAAAAAAAAGAGGTTAATATAATATAATATAAATATAAATATATAATATAAAAATTTAGTATACCTGTTGTAATTTTGGCACACTAATTAAACTGGTTAAATATTTTAAGTTTGAACATTCATAATAAAATTTTAATAAAGCATAATGTTGTGCATTATATCTGGTACGAAGGGGCGTTAAGGCGTCAACAGCGTCTGTATGCTGATGCATAGCTTTAAGCATGCTGGTTAAAAATTTATAAATACCATAGCTTTCTTCCACTAATGGAACAAGAGCAGCTATTCTACATTCATTGTTAGATGATGGACGAAATTGTACAAAAATCAATTTTTGAAATTGATCAATTTGATCTTGCAAATTCATCAAATCATTTATTGTCTCATATCTATTTTTTTTAAAAAAAAAAACAAAGTAAAATAAATAAAAACGATTAAATTTAAATAAATCCAATTGACAAAATTGATCTTTATACATATATATATTAATTAATATATTAAATATGAAAATCTTTATTACCCTTCATTAGGATCATCGACATTTTTTAAACTAACATAATCCTCATAATCAAAATTTCCATTAAATTCTGGATGAATTTTATGATAACCCAACTTAGTTTTTAAAAAATCTACATATGCACGAATAAGTGTTCCATAACCTAAAAAAAAAAAAATAAATTGATATAATTATCACTAATTGACATTTTTGGCAGATGAAGATATTTTTAAGCTATAAAAAAATACCTCGAGTAGCACCATTAACTACAGATCTTGCACAAGTCTCTAGCCAATGTGTTTGATTTTGAGCTTGTTTTAATGTCTAAATTTCACAAAAGCCAAAAGGAATAAAAGCAATCATTAATTAACATGACATTTCAACAAGCCATCTTCTTTAAAAGAAATGCATATACACATACAATCGGATGACCGCCTCGGATTATTTTATGTACAGCAATTAATGCTTTAAATGTTTGTACTTCGTCAGCAATTATTGGTTGAACTTTAAGTCCGGTCCAAATTGATTCGGAAGTGTGGTAATCCCATGTATAGACTATACATTCTATCAATTGAAGAGATAAATTATAGATTTATATGTACGCATGCATATGTGTGCATGATTGTAATGCAAATGTAAAAAAAAGATGTTTACTTCGAACATGTTTTTGTTTTGGAGCAGTTTCTTCAGGACTGGTGGCTTTTTTTATATTGAGTGCTAGGTCGTGTTCTGCTTTTTCACGATCTACAGGTCTGGTAGGAAAATGTTGTTCCATCTAGTGATTGAATTGTTGAAATATTTTAAAGTTCTTTTGTTGACATTATAAAATAAAAAATAAAATATTTTATACTAATAATATGATAAATGATAAACAGGGAACAAAGCATGGTCACACGATCGAATTTCCAGGGACCAAGAAAATTAAATGACAAATTTTTTTTGTAAACAATAATAACAAGAAGTCTTGGAATCTTTAAATAGAAAAATTATCTTGGTAAAATCATAGTGCAAAGCATAATAATATGAATAAAGCAGATTTTTTTCAGTTATGACGTAAATTATGAATAATTAATACAGACGGGAGTCATTACATAGGGTATGGAATATTTTTTCGCAAAAATTACCCACCCCAATGGCAGTTGTTATTATTTGTTATTGTTTGATGCATCAATAAAAACATTTTAGTAATAGTATAACATAATATCCGGAAAACGACATCCCATAAAAGAATAATAAAAAAAAAAAAGAGAAGAAAATTTTAATGAAAAAACAAAATAATCGTGATAATATAAATATGATTGTCTGTCTACATTGTATCTAGTAACATAATATAATATGAAGAAATAGTAATAGTAAATAACAAAAAAGGGATTTAATTAATTTTATTTCAATATGATTGATCAAAGAGCGAAATAAAGATCAACTTTCAAGATTCCAAATAAAGAAAAGCAGGTAATTTAAATTGTCTATATATCCTATATATATACTTTTTTTTTTTTTTCTTCACAAAAAACAAATAA